GCCATCAGTCGCTGAAAAACTCAGTGCAAAGAGAGCAAAGTAGCCCCACTTCAGAAAACGAGGAAGCGAGGGAGGGAACGAGGGAGAGCAGGAGAGAGGGGTGAGCATAGTGGAGACGGGAGGGCAAGCAAAAGAGAGAGGGAGAAAGAAAGGGAGAGGGAGAGAGAGCGTGGTGGAAGTTAGTCTGACAGAAATTGGTCATTTAATGCTTTAGCGCACTGGAGACAGCCCCTGTCATAGACGAAGGCATGGCAGGGGCTCCCCTGGTATTTTATTTATTAATTATCCTATGCAGCGAGGGGCCTTTAACTGTCTCAGTCCAGCCCCGTCAGCCTGACTCCCTGTCATTTTCTCTCCACAAACAGATCCTTTAACACCGTGCTCCAGGTTAATGGAGACAAAGCCAATATCCAACCAACCTTGCCTTCTCCCCCAAATACAGTATTCATCTGTACCTTATCCAGGTAATTATGTCTCAGGCGATCTCCTGAATATGTCGTTGGGATGCTAATAAACCACTTTAGAGCTGGCGTGCAGAACACGTCTGACCTTTTCAACTCACTGCTTCATGGTGGCTACGCCTCCCAAGGAGGGCAGCAATTATTTACACCTTATTGGGAAACGCATGTCATTGGTAAATAAACAGTCCCAAATAATTTAATGAAGGCTGCATTTGTTATTCAGGAAATAACCAAGACAAACTCATGCTTATTTCCTCATAATTGATTGTTGATATGTTACATGATTCACTGTGAAATCTTTGTTGATAAAAGAAATGCTTTGCCAAGTAGAGCTACCTGTCAGGGGGGTATTTTATTCTCATAATTCAAATATTTGTCACCTTAAATGCTCCATCTCTTTTCCTTAACAGTGTCGACAAAATGCAACAGAACCATGCTTGCCAGAAGCTGTTTTGCTGGCGGTGACAAATTAGCACTGTGAAGGACGATATCAACACCAGCTAATTAAGGTGTCGTGTGATTTTGGGCTCCAGATCAAGAATCTGCTGATTCATCCCACGGGTGATTATGATGTCCATATGGTCAATGTACAGCGAGCTACGCAGGGAAACACTATCGGCCCGCTGCGGCGCTGGCGTTGCCAAAAGTTTGATCTTGTCTTTTGTGGCGGTGTTGGGTGGTGTTCATCAAGGCTCTAAATTATTAACAGCATCTTTTCTTTAAGCCCAGGATCCTCTAGTGGAAAACACGGGATGAGGGGCAGCTGGGAGGCTGCCTGCGACTGGCTACCCCTCTTCTCTGACATCAGGAAGTGAAATTCAACGCTGTTTCCACTGTCGTTCATTGATGGGCTTGTGTACCTTGGATGCCCCCTTCTTAGTGTCACTAGGTTTAAAGGAATTATCACCACTCATGCAACATGAAGGTGATTTTAGGATAGGTTTGTAGTGGTTTTAGTGTCAGATATTGTATCTATATATTATTATCTTGACAATCATTAAAACTATAAATATTCCTTACATTTCTTGCAGCAAAATGATGAGAAATTACTCCAGTGACTCCAGGGGCTAATAAACTCATTTCTTTCCCTTTCTCTCTTTCTCATTCCTCTCAATTCAGTCCTTTACTGTAGTGCTAAGCACAGTGAAAATACACCTAATAGACAACACTGGCATACAAGCCAAGTGAACCTGACAAATGGAACAGAAAAGCTAACAGAGAAGAAAGAGGTGCTTAGGCCAACTGTCACAGGTAAAGTGCTTTCCTGATTTCTGTTTACTCACCATGCTTGAAACT